ATAGAGCCTTAAACGGAAAAAGAGGAAGTAATTTAGGGGTTGTATAAATGGATTCTAATCTGTGACACAAGGAGCCCTGGTGGCACTGTAGGATAAGCATGGGACTGTGAACCACACGGTTAGTAGTTAGTAGTCACTGGAGAAGGATATTATGTTTGGTAAGGTGAAGGGTCAGATAAAAAGAGGAAGACCCCCAGCGAGATGGATTGGCCAAGTAGCAGCATTGATGGACTCAAGTGTGGCAACAGTAGTGAGGGTGGCCCAGGATCGGACAGTGTTTCGTTCTGGTGTGCATAAGGTCTCTATGAGTCAGTACTAGCTCGATGGCACCTAACAACAACAGTAAATGAAAAATAGTAGTCAGCATTTAATATAATTTAAGATCAGTTTGAGTCAACACTGTGCTGTAACCAGCACTGTAAGGGAATTGCTAATAAGACCATAGTCTCTTTGGTCGATGAGAAAGAGGTGGTTGTCTGCTGGTCAGACCATATGTGTAACAGCCCGTGCACTTCAGGCAGACACCTTGTAAAAGAGATGAAAACAGACCTAAATGTGCCCAAATGAGATCGAATTAACAAAGGCTCAGTTAGTATGTATGGGCTCAGGGAGGAGCAATATTATTTTTGACAACTAAGATACTTTTTGTATCTTTTGAAAATAAACATCAGTGGCTGTTTTATGTAGCCGTATCCTATGAAACACTATAATGGGTTAGACGAGCACACTTGTTTTGAGGTATGACCATCAGGGTTTAAATCTCAGCCTTCAATGTAATGACTGATTTTAGTGAGTTTTTAGCACTCAGTTTCTACAAATCCAAACTCAAACTTGCTCAAGACATACGTCTTAACACATCATGAGGAAAATTACATAATTCAGAAGTAAGAGGAAAATATTCCCAGTTTTAAAAACGTGATAGAGACAAAAAACAAACAAACTAGATTATCTTGTAAAAGGAATGACACTTCCCTGACAATTTTTTTTTGTTTTTTAATGGAGGGTGATCTGTTTTATTTAAGGTCAACTGATGTAAATGTTTGTTGTTGTTGTTTTATTAAATAAATGTTTTATTGTGAATTGTGTGATAGTCTACATGGGAGAACATTAGTCTTACATCCATTCTATCATACATCGTTTCATTGGCATAGTTACCATCCTGTCCATGCATCCTCACCCAACCAAAGGGTGTGCCCTGCAAGCCTGCCTCCCTCCCCCCATCCACATACACACACAGTCCTCAGCCCCTTTCCCTCTCTGGATCCCAAGTCCTCAGCCACTCCTTCTTTTCTCTGCCTCCATCTCAGGCCTCACTGCTTCTCTGGGTAGGATGCCGCTATCTGCTCTTCTCCATTGATGGTCCCAGGGCCCTCCACTCCTAGATTGAAAAGTTAACCACTCTCCTCCTTGCTACAAAATGTCTATTTTTAGATTTCCAACCCTCACAATCAGTCCTGATAACAATTATTCACTATTGCATCTCAAGAGACCCATCTGTATTTCATTTCATCAGTCCTTCCTGGAGAGGATGGATACTATTCACTGGAGACTCTACCTTCCTCCACGTCCTTTGTATCTAGGTTCTCTCTTGAAAGCTTGTAAGCCAGTCACTTCTTACCTTTGTATCTCTCCCCCCATTTTGGGTAGTCAATGTCCAAGTTGCGCATTCCTGTCTACTTTTTGTGTGGAGGGGATGGGAATAGTTCTTGCAGCAGGGATTTGTTTCCTCTTTTGAGCTACTGCATTTATAGGTGTAGGTCCTGTTTATTGAATTGTATCAGATGAAACTTTTTTCCTCTTCTTTCTTCTTCAGATTGAGCTCTGTTCATCTAGTCATTGAAGCCAGGTCAAGTGGGTATCATCTGCAAGTGTGGGTTTTCTTGCGTCTGTCCGCCCTCTTATCTGACAATTTTAATATGCAACATCAGAAACTACTAAAATTAGGGGAAAATCAATTAATTCTAAGAGAAATGTATAGTAAACATAGATTTTATAAATATAAAATATGTTATTCACAAGCTTATGGGTAAAGTTAGGCATTTAGACTGCATGCATTCAATGTTTTTATCCAAATGACACATCTATAGAAACTACTTGAGAAAATTCTCTAGTACAACAAAAAATAATTCAGATCAATAAACTCTTGACTGAGAAGATGAAGACGGTCAAGAATTGCTAACATTGTGTACATGGATTTAAATATTTTAAGTTTTAAGGATGTTTGTTAGCAATAGGATAATCAAATTCCATAGATAAAATTAATTCTGTTAAGGTATTAAAGCTACTAAATTATCTTTAGAACATCCTCTAAAAATGGCAAAAAAATATGTTTACATTTTTAATAAGCACAACTGGACTTAATCATACACATTACTGTGACACTAAATATGAGTAACAACAAATACAATATCATCATACTCCACTAAAAATAAGTATTTCACAGGACATTAAAGAGAAAACAACTTAAAACTTAAATACACACAATGTCAACTTAAAACTGAATATACACAATCCAAACATTACCATAATCTTTACTATTTGCATATTTAAAAAATATTTGTTGGCTATTTTCCGCCATTAATAAAATGAAATAACACTATTCCTTCCATCTGAATAGACTTGGCAAGAGAAAGCAGGGCTGATTTTTGCTGGGAATAGAAAAGATAAAAGACAAATGACAGAAACTGGGTGGTACAATTAGTGCCTTAATCCTTCAACCAAGATGCTCATTTAATGATGTCAAAGAAAAGAAATTAAATGGGCTTGTGCAGTTTTTGTATTGGAGAGTCTTCATATAAACATGTACATCATAGGATACAGAAGGAGAGTAAAGAGTTCGCTTGGTAATGGAGTTGTTAAAAGTAGAAAACCCACCAGTCACTCCATAGAAAAAAGTTGAGACAGTCTGCTTTCCTACAGAGTTATAGCTTTAGAAACCCTATGGAGTAGTTCTACTCTGTCCTCTAGAGTAGCTGTAATTGAAATTGACTTGACAGGAGCAGTAGGTTTGGATTTGGGTTTATGATCCAGAAAACATAATGTAATTCTTATTAGTAGTACTTCACTGGTAACAAGGGAAAATGTATACTCTACCAGAAAAATCTCTTCAGATCACTTGACTGCAGCTTCAGTGAATGTTGATAGTTGATGCAAGAAGAATGAAGTCCTTGACAACTTCAATCTTTTCTCCGTTGATAAGAATGTTTATTGGTCCAGTGGTGAGGATTTTTGTTTTCTTGACATTGAGATGTAATCCATACTGAAGGCTGTGTTCCTTGATCTTTATCAGTAA